CACAGACGTATTCTTTTTTAGCTTTAGGAGCAGTTGTTGGAAATACTAATGAAGATTGGAAAACAATATGCCCGCCCATAGAACGATGTGGTTGGTAAAATGGACCCACCTTAAGTAGGTATCCAGTATGGGAATTAAGGTATAGCCAATGAAAGGTTTACAACTCTTTTTTTTCCAAACATGCGGGCAAACTGCAAAATTGAAAAAAAAAAGGGTGAGAAAAATGGAAAGAAGTAAGAGTATATTAAGAGAAGCTGGGATAGAACATATAGAATTGTTTTTACTGGTAAAACGGACCCACCTTAAGTGTATATAGTCACTAGTGGATAGAGATCAGTACATAATACATAAGATTTACCTAAATAACATATACAGATGACTCATACGGAATATGATCATTTAACTAATTCAATTAAATTGATTGTTGACACGCAGAATATTTCTCTTTGAATAATAGTATTACAAAAACTTACTGGAATATATATATACTAGGTCATCTACCAATATATAACATGAAAACTAAATGGTTTGTCCTAAGAGATGTCAGAACTTGAGCTTGAAGTGTCCTGAGGGGCTTCAGATTGGACCTCAACTTGGGGAGCAGGAGCTTCTGGAGCAGAGCTTTCAACTTCTGGTGCATTTGGTGCTTCAGTTTCTGGTGCTACTGAAGCTTGAACAACTTCTGGTGCAGTTGGTGCTTCGGTTTCTGGTGCTACTGAAGCTTGAACTATTTCCGCTGGCTTAAACTTGTTGATATAGTAGCTAAGGGATGGTCCTGAGTACTCCATTGTTTGTACCGGAGGAGGTGAGTTCTTCCCGACTTGAAGGAGTATCGATGAAGCAGCTGCAATAGAGATTAAGGCTATCCCAGCTGCAATAGCTGCTGTGTTCTCTGCTCCATCAGAAGTGGAGCCTGCACTCCCAGAGCTGATACCACTTTCTGCTACATAAACTGCAGGCTGTTTCCAAAGTGAGCAACGTTAGCGACGCAGATAACATAACTGAATCCATACAGGTCTTCAGATAATAATATTTCCTCTAAAAAGGGCTAAAAGAGGATGATGATTCAGTGTGATACTGCCAAGATATACTCTCGCCCATCATATATTGTACCGAACTATTCAGTAGCTGAGATGGATTTTGGACAGAATCACATTGATCCTAAATGAAGTGAGAGGCCAGGGGGCAGGGAAAAGGGCCGAGTTGATCAGCATTGGCAATCAGGAGAAGCAAAACGGCTTGTCTTGTGGAAAAGCAGAAGAGCAATTGGTATGTTATGATTCATCGCATGACTCCTTTCTAGAATCCTGATATGTCCAAGATTCAATTCATGATATCTCTAGAATAAATACCTTAGGGCCTGAAAATTTGAGATCTGAGATCTCTACATCCTCAGCTTTACATAGCCTACATACTTTAGTTATGCCATCCTGGCTCCATATATTGTCCCAAGTGAAATAGCAAAGGATGTAAGGTATGAAAGTTAGATTTAGAATCCTGATATTTCCTAGACCAGATTCATGATATCTCTAGCATAAATACCTTAGACACTGAGCATGTGAGGTCTGAGATCTCTATACTTCCTCAGCTTTACATGGCCAACATCCTTGATCTTTTGGCTATGCCCACCTGGCTCTATTCACTTGAATATACTACTGTTTATCTTTTTCAAACATGCTGTGAATTGCTTTTTACCTCCACAAGGTAGGGGCAAAGTGTGCGAACACATTGGCCTCCCCGGACCCCACACTGGTTGTTGATGTATTTTTTTGTTTACTATTCACTAGAATAATGGAAGATAGATTTAGCCCGTGCGGAGAAAAGCTGAGAATTAGAATAAAGCTAGAAATATATAAACCCTCCTTCTCAAAACTAGATTTGGTCTAGTGCATATGTGGATTAAGAAAACTCATATGGGTGGGCCTTCCAGCCCAATACCTCACAGTAAAAAGTGAAACAGCCTACAACCATTTACTCTGTCCAAGCATCACTATAAATAACTTGCAGTTGCAGTGGTAATACTATATTGATACTTGAAGCTGAACTTCAACAAAATGAAATAAAGATTGATTCGTTTTTGTAATTCAACAGACAGATTTCACTACGAGATAGTTTCTCATGTGAAGAGCTAAGGCATGCCATAATCTGAAACTTCCTTTTGCTCCATACCATCTGAACAATGTAGTTTCAGGAGAACTTATGTAATTGCAGAACATAGAAGTACTAACCTCAACAGAGTATATATTTGTCTGCCCAGCAGTATCCTTCTCAACATACCCAGTCCAGCCACGCTTGCGAGGTGGAAAGGTCCCAACCACTTTGGTGTTGTCCCCAGCTACCCACTCCATGCTCACCTTCCCAACCTGTTTCAAAAGAAAAAAAAATCGTATCAATACTTTTTCCAGTGTGAACTACCATCTTGCTGGACAGTATTGACATACAATGTCGATTCAATAATGATTATTATAAAAAGCTCTAAAATATGGGCTGAGGAGACATAAACTCAAAATTACTACAAAAATTGTATAGGTATTGTTTGCAAACTTTTATATTATTGATGAAAAATAATGATTAAATGCTTTTGGTACATTTGAAATGGCTTAACAGTGATACTGTGAGCTATCGACTGTGCTTTTCCTTTTTTCCCCCCGACTTATAAGCTTAATATCGGCGAAGGAGCTAGCTGAGAAGTTCTTTAAATATTAATGTCTCAAATACAATGTCTTTTTTTATTAGGAATGTCTGAATTTTAATGTTGCACAAAAAGGCAAAAGCTACGAAGAAATGTACACCAAGTTTGCTCCTTCCTTCTCAAACTCGCTCTAAAGGAGATACGAAGGCTTCATTATCCACATCCTTCTAACAGCTAGTCATATCAAATGGTATTTCTCTCAATAAATCTTTCCCCAAAAAAAAATCAATTTGCTCTAGTTTTTTCCTAATTCGTAGCAACATACTTAAAGATTTCCTCATTAGATAAGAAAAAAAAAAGTATTCCATGTGTCTCTATATGCCTAAACTATTACAAATCTCCTTTGCAGCTTTTTCCAGAACTGGCTCGCCGATCTTATACATTCTAAATGAAATTAAACTGCTTACTGCTGCCATCTTGACAAGTTGTAGCAGTAGACATAAACATATCATTATCACTCAAAAGAGCCCGTGCACAGTCTTTAACTAATTTTAATAAAATAGTCTATAATTACAACACTATAGTATTTTCTTCCCCCAAATATTCATAAGTAGCCATAATTGTTAGCCATTTTGAGAATTCTCTACGTATTTAAACAATTCCTCAAAAATTCAAGAAAAAAGAAAAAAATTCACTCGAGGGAGTACAAGACTGTACATTCCCGCTTGCGTTTTCAATCTGTCAACAAGTATTAATCTACATACACAAATTCAACAAGGAAAAGAAGTAGTATATAATTAAGCAAGAGGAAAATTGACCTCCTTATCAGGGGCACATTCTTCATCATTGCAATCAGCATCATCAGTTGAAGCTGCCCTAATTCTGAATCGGATAAGACTCTGCCTTTGTCTCAACTTTGAGTCTTTCTGATATGTGGAAAAGCTCAATCGTCCACTCGAAGATGAGGCTATGGCGCAGCTGTTTGCTGATAACGCAGCGCAAGCCATTATTTTTTTAGCTGCCCAACAAAAGCTTTCAAATGGTTGTGCCTATTATGTATATTGAGGAGATGAAGCAGAACCACTTGTAGAATTTTTTGCTTCTTCGATTGGCTGTGTTTGAGCCTCGAAAATCCTTTCCTTTTGAGGATGCTTTGGTTTTTGTGGTTTGATTTGAATGCACGTTGAGTGGGTTATGTGTCCTACATTTCACTCTTTCTAAAAGTATTAAATGACAACTATATCCCTCTTTGTCATTTTGTGACATCCAAAATGGAGTACTAAATTTTGATTATTAAAATTGATTAAATATAAGATTTTGCGAAAAGTATGGTTTTTAGCAGAAATAAACGGCACTATATGAGATATAATAAAATTTAGAGATTATATTTAAGGAAAATATTTTATGTAAATATGCATTGAAATAAATTTCAAGATAGTTTTGTTTGTATTTGGCACGTTATGTTTGTGACAAATATATTGTGAAATAACATTGCTTGTGAAAATTCTAAATTGGCTGAGCTAAGCAAGTGCGAGCAGCCAAATATTCCATGGTGTCTCTTACGTTCAATTGCGTATATCTAAGATCGCTCCACAGAAATGTTGGAGTTTTGAGCGGGGAAAAAAATTTAAAATTTTTGAAAAATTCATTGTCAAAAAATTATCAAAAACTTGCAAAATTCAAAGACAAACGGGGCCTAAATTGAATCGAAGTGGGCACATGACAAATTATACCACCATAATAGTCGATGAAGTAAATTAAAGCTTAATATATGTGGATGGAGACCAGTCTTTCCTTATTTTGTACCACTGCGAGACCAATTTGGTAGGGTTTTGTCTAAGATAGTTAGTGGCAATGTTGCATCTTTCTTCTAAATTTCATGTTGTTCTTGTTTTTCATATGATATCTTTGCTGATACTAATATTTTGTCCTTTTGTTTTCTTGAGCCGAGAGTCTTTCGGAAACAGTCTCTCTACTCCTTCGGGGTAGCGGTAAGGTTTGCGTACACACTATCTTCTCCAGACGTGAGATTTTATTGGGTTGTTGTTGTAAAATAATATATGCCAGATAAATCCATCTCAACCGCCTTGCGGGCAGTTCAATTGCATGAGTCGCAATCTGAGTTTCTGAGTTTTAGCATATGTTTTAGGTTCGAGTAATCAAAAAGGTCATGTACGGTTATTAGTGAGTCTGGAGAAGGCATATGATGTTTACCATTGTTCTCATTATTATTATTTAATATGTTTATACACTGATATATTCACTTTTAGCCCACGCGAAAACTATATACATTTGGTAGCTGAAAAAATATATAAACTTTGTATAATTTTTGCATATAACATACAATTATATATATATCGACTATTATTTTGAGAGCGGTTATACAACTGCTAAGCCCAATTCCCAAAGTTGACCGGGACCTCATTTTCAAAGACTCTGTAGACATTTAATTGCTCATGCACATGATGAACATAGTATTTTTCATTTATTTGTTTCTGACAACATTTACTCTCCGGTCCAACCTCATTAATTTCTTTCCGGTTCCAACGCTTTTCATTTCTTCCTTTGCAGCCACATTTTCTCTATCACACACACAAAAAATGTCCATAGCTAACTTACCTGATTCCGCAAGCGGAGTAATTAGCCTCAGATATGGTATGGCCATTATCATTGGCATTTTGATACTCATTTCTCTTATCATGTTTGCTTCCTACGCTTGTCTTCGTCTCAAATTAGCTGCTTCTTCTAACACTGAAGACTTCACACCTGCATCTTCCAATGGGGCTATATATAGTTACTTCCTAGGATTGGATCAGCCCGTTATAGAGTCATTTCCCAAAGTGGTTTTAGGTGAAAGCAAGAGATTGCCCAGTCCAATTAATACAAATCTATGCGCTATTTGCTTGTGTGAGTATTGTGCGAAAGATTTGGTTCGTTGTATACCGGAATGTCGACACTGTTTTCATGTAGATTGTGTTGACGAATGGTTGCGGAAGAGTGGGACTTGTCCAATTTGTAGGAACTCTCCAGCTAATTCTCCATCTGTCGGTCCAACTTCGACTATGCCTAGTAATATTCCTCTTGCCCAATTAGTACCCTTGGCTTATTATCAGAGATGATGTTGTTGCAAAGGTGTAGGTTTAAATTAAATAGTATATATAGTACTTCTTGTTTTGAATTCTGTTTTCTTATTACAATTTGTGTACAATCTTGTTCCTAAATTTATGTAGAAATTGTACGTTTAAGTTCTTGTTTTAAATTTTATCATTCTCCATTTTTTGTTACCTTTGAGTGCTGTGTAACACATTTCGTGTTTTTAAAAATTAAGTCAAGAATAGCGCATTAAATAGTTAACTTCAGAAGTATAATAGAAGTTACAATCTTTTGGTTCGTGGCAAGGGGTATGTAACTGGAAATTGGTCAAAGTTCAGGAAGATATCTATACATTTTCCCTAAAACATACATAAAGTTCTTGTTCGGTTGTATGTTTACACTAACATAAAATTCATTATTACTCGTATACGGTTTAGCTGTCATTTTTGTTGCCCGCCTAAGTAAATACATACATGACTTATGTAGGTATCTATGTATTATTTATACAAGATTGAATAAGAATACAAGATCGGTAATGCATGAGTTTAAGCAACTAAATTTTTCAAAACTCATGTATTCAACAATCTTTTTATAAAAAAAATTAAACAAGCCACATATTGATTAAAAAAAGGGGAAAAAAGAGAGAGAACAAAACCACATAATTTTCCTTTAAATTATACATCGTCCAAGAAATAATATTCCTATACTAATTCATGTACTATAATCAATGTACTATTGCAATACTATCCCTAAATTACAATCCATGTTATCCCCTGCATAATTTAATCAAACTGGCCCCAAGGGCATTTGGAGGAAGAATTCTATTCCGTAGTATAAACTTTTAGGCGTCGTTTGTTCGTAATTTTCTTCTTCTTTTTTTCGGACATTTATTTCAAAAACATGTTTGTCCATGAAATTCTTTATTGAAAATAAGTTTTTCAAAGACTGAAAAAAATTTCAAGACTTTTTTCCTACTCACAAAACTACAACATTTTTTCAAATAAAATACAAGTCCAAACATAATTTTAAATTCTGAATATCATTTTTCAACTTAACTACAAATATTATTTTTTTCGAAAATTTTAATTTTTATATCCAAATGCCCTACTTAGTTTCTTGACTTAACAGACTGAAAGTAAGCCCTGACCCTCCTAATTTCTCTTCCATAACTTTAGAAAGCCTCTCAAACATGGAAGGTGTAAAATAATTGACCCAATCCCCAATCTCACCTTTCCTAAACAAATTCCTGTTTTCAAAATCTGAAATGGCCCCTTTACCTTTCTTATTTACTTGTAAATCCCTCAAGTTCTGAAAACTACAAAGAGATGACACATCTTTTATAATTCCTCCCTTTTCCTCCTCCTTTGTAAAAGGAAATCCCAAGAAATCAGCTAATCTCTTCAATTGATTACACACATCCAATTTCATATCCTCATATTTTAAAAACAAGACCTTATTTGGATTTTCTAAACTTTCTCTCCAGTACCCCAACATATGTTCCCAATAAGGACCAAACCCTATAACTCCCCTACAGTACAAATCAAAGGCTTCCTCAAGAGTAAAAGGACCTAAAGATTCAGGTCTAATTTTGACTAGGTAATGCCAAACTGAAACAAAGGCGTCAAAAGGGTTCCGACAAATGTAAACAATTTTGCATTTTGAGGTCTTAACTGAATTTGGTAATGCCCCAAAAGGGACGTGAGTAGCAACAAGGCGTGGAGAAGGTAAAAGAGAGAGATCAGGAAGGGAATTAAAATCAGCGTAAAGTTTGTATTCAAGAAATGGGACAAGTTCGTGAGGATTATGAGTGAGTAAAGGGTGATTAATATTCTTTTGTTGGACGTTGAATTTGTTGCGGTTTACAATGGAGAAAGTGAGTGCTTTTAGCCATGTAGTGCCAGATTTTGGTATGGACGCGAGAATTAGGTCGTTGTCTTGAGCTTTAAAGTGTTTTTGTGTCGAAATTATGGCTCGGATTTCTTTGGGTTGACACCAAAAGTTTTGGAATAGGAAAAGATTGGGTGTTCTCCACCCTTTTTCTTTGGGAAGAGAATTGAAAAACTCATCAAGATCGTCAGTTAGAGTTTCTTGTGGTTGTTCACTTTTGGATTGGCTTTTGAGGAAATTTGTAATAGTCATTTTAGCTAGCTAAGTTATCGAGGGCAAGGATATGATTTGCATGAGAAACTAGAGCTATATATATACTAGTAGTGAAATGGTCTCGGTCTTATTTCTCAACTTTATACCCATGAAAAACATGGGAGATCTAATTCGCAATATTCAAAGCAAAACAACTTTTAATACGCAAACCCGAATAGTAAAACGTGTATCTCGCCTTCGTGTAATGGTGGGTTGCTAGTTGCTATGTAGATACGGGATAAGTTGAACCTATAATTTTAAATATTGAGTATAAATTTATGTGTAAGATTCACTAAAATTGCAACAAATAGTATTATTTAACTCAAAAGATATTGAATTCTTTTTGGTTAAATCAATTAAAGAAGATAAAAGGATAAATCTCAGCCAAGCATAATAAACTCCAGAATGAGAGATAAATGAGGGATGAACAAGGTAAATAGAATCTACTGATCTCGTGGAACAGAAAGATTAAATGTGAAAAAATGATCACCACCAATATCGAGTGAATATTACAAAGGAAGTTCTTAGTCGAAAAAGTTTCTGCCTTACAAGGTTACTTCCTTCCTATATATATATAAGGGACAACCCCGTTCTGAACCCTAGGAGACATACCATAGGGAATTTCGAAAGTATATTCCTAATGCACTATGTTAGGCCGATACTACTACAAAAGTCATACGTCCATCATCTGTTGTCGGTCGTCGTCGTCCTCCACAGGACGTCATGCTGTGAATACCTCATCTTTTGTCGTATTTGACAATAGCCGTGGTCGACCAAATTTGGATCCATACAGTTAGTCCCTCCGCTTGTTGAGGTTGCGACTTGAAGCATCCTTGATGAGCGGACACCACCCACAAGTGTAGAGAAATTTGATTTCACGAAACGTCATGACTTGGCCAACAATAGAAGGTTAGCGTGCTTAACGAGACCATGGATGGTGTATCTTATCGGGAAATGACGTCACCTCCACGTGCGTCATCATTATGCGTGTTTTCGAGACAGGGGCTAAGAGCTTGTCGCTTCGATTTTGGTGCCATTCTGTAGCCTTCTACTTCAATTCTGGCGCCACCCAATCCTATAAATAGATGGAGGGTTTGTATTTTCAAAAACTCTTCGCCATTTCTTCTTTGGTTATTCCTTACCTTCTCTCCTGCTTTTGCTCTAGCAATTCTCTTTGCTTTCTCTCCGTTTGCCGTCCTTGGCTTTTTCTGTTCTATTAACACATTCACCGCCATGGATATGCCTAGATCACATCGATCTCGTGAGGGGATTTTTGACCCTATACCGTTGTCCGTGGTGCCCCATACCAGCAGTGAGGACACGATGGTGGAGGAAGGGGACAACTTTCCCATTATAGAGGAGTTGCTGCCGAGACACCTTTCGTCTCGAAGCGATTTCCTTAAAGACCCTCCTCCTGTTCCAGCCTCCGTACTCTCTGAAACTGAGCAAGTCCATATCGATGCTCTCTGTGCAAAATATAGCATTCCCGCTCATATTGAGATGGTTCCAGCGGGAGGGGACTTCGTGGAAGTCCATAGGCCCGGGTACTGTGCCTTCTATGAGTACCCCTTTATGATTGGTCAATTACTTCCCCCTTCTCCCATTAGCAGAATAATTCTGTCGATTCTATCAAGTTTTCCTGGCACAACTTTCCCCGTACACGCTCAAAATACTCCTGTTGTTGACAAAATATGGGGAGTTGGCGGGGTGCGAGGTTATTGTTCACCATCTTCTACACTTGTTTTCACCCAGCTTTCATAAGGGTACTATGGTACATCAGAGGCATCATGAGACAAAAGGATTGGTGGTCAGAACCGATGACCGAAAGAGTCACAAATTTTGGTATAAGTACTTCTTCGTCAGAACTGAACACATCATGTCTCACCCCGCTAGATTCCCGGAGTAGTGGAACGAGAATCGTAAGTGTTGCTACTTTTTTGTTCTTTCTTTTATTCTTTATTCACCTTAGTGTTTACTTGCTTCTCGTTTGCAGCTTTGGGGCGCCCGCCCTGCCCTATTGCAGGTATAAGGGATTGGGTAGCCCATTTGCTGCCCCATGCAGCGGAGACTCGAGATTGGCCCGCTTTTGTGAAATGCTATGGGCCGAAAGTTTCTTCTGGTAAGTGTCTTGATCTATGCCGTTATTTGGTCATTGGTCATCGTATCTACTGATATGGCTTTCTGTGACGACATGTCGTGGCACTTCTAGGCGTAGGGCCCAGTCGCTGTATTTTGACAGGCCGTCGCTGCTGCATGAATGCAATTTACTCTGAGTGAGTCCGTCCGAGAGGGTCGTACTCAACCAATACAGGTGGGATATTCTTCTCGCGATATGGTCGTGAGGGAAGGAACCTCTTCCTTACTGGTCCATCACCTTGTGGACGAGTCCCCTAATGGGGATGAATTGTTATCGAGGAAAAGGAGGAGGGCGAAGCTTGGGAAGGGCGTGGCCGCTGATACTGGTAAGAATAGGATGGGTACGTCGCAGACGGCACCTGTGCCCGCGTTTATAGCCGGCACCATCTGGGCAAGGAGGTCTCCCTAAACAGAAGGGGTTTACCAAGGAGGTAGTTCCGTGTGCTCCGCTGAGGGTGGCACATCGTCCAATGTCAGAGGGGGCCCACGCATCGAGGGCGAAGTCTCGAGCTCGGATGTCGACCCGGGGAATGTTCGTGAGTTTTTGGAGCGTCACACTCATGTAGAGGTCAGAGTGGAGGGGTCTAATTAACATATCGTTGTCCTTGGGGACTACAACTTATTGTCGGACCGTGATCGGATGGCGTCTGCTTTAGCTCCTTTATGTGCTGCCCCTGAGATCGAGGCACTTAAAGTGATGAGTGATATAGAGTAGTCTCGGAGTGTCTCTGGCATGGCCTTGCGGGTAGATATCTTTCTTTTCATTTCGTCATTGGGCTTGTGTTATTGTTTTTGGCCTGTCCTTTTATTTTAACTTCACCCTTTTTTGTGCCAGAC